GGCGAACGCAAAGAAGGGCCCAGGGGTAGAGGGGGGTGTGGGGGACGGGAAACGACTAAGTAAACGACGAAGGGTCTAAGTAAACAACGGAAAAAAAAAGAAAACGACTAAATAAACGACGAACAAAGAAACCTCTGGGCTCTATTTTTTGGCGAACGCAAAATGACGAAGGGTTTATCTTTCGGCGAACGCAAAGAAGGGCCTACATGTAGAGGACAGATAAGTACTAAAAACGACTAAGTATACGAAGAAGAAGACCTCACAACTCATTTCTAGACACTTGAAACATTTTTTTCCTTGAGGAACAAGTACAAATCTTTAACGGACGAGATCTTATATACAACGAATGAGACCTCTTCTTTGACGAAAAGACCCATTTTTCTTCGCAAGCTTCTTTGCTCCATTCGGCGGAGTTTTCGGTACCCGTTAACCACGAGTGCCCCGCTCATACAGTTTTCTATGCCTTTCCAGATATTTTCAAAAAACAAAAAGACTTAGTTATTGCAGCTTGAGTAATTTAGCATCAGGTCGGTAGGTCGACAGTTATCTATGGTTTTCTTAAAAATTCATATGAATTTCTTCCGTAGTTCTCAGATTGTTCGTATTTGAAATTCTTAGATTGTTCTTAGTCGAAACAAGTAGTTATCTAAGGTTTTCTTAAATTTCTCCTGAACTCTTGTCGTGGTTCTCATATTGTTCTTAGCTCAAATTGTCAAGATTGTTTAGGATGAGAATAGGGCACAAAAGCAGCGGAGATGGTGGCTTTGTTGCAGTAAGTCTTGCCGGAGTGGAGTGCAGGGGAAATCGAGGTGAGTGGGAAAAGGAGATGGTGGGTATCCATGCGTCCTACTAGCGAGGGGGCTAGCTGGTAGGATGGGAATAGGATACAGCAACAGCGGAGATGGTGGCTCTGCTGCAGTAAGTCTTGCCGGAGTGGGTTACAGGGATTGATAGGGGGTGTCTGAGTCTTTTTCTTAATTGTGCATATGTCTTGGTTTCTCAAAAAAAGAGGCGAGTGGGAGAAGTAGATGGTGGGTTATCAAGCGTCCTACTAGTGAGGGGCTAGCTTGTAGGATGGAAATAGGGTACAACAGCAGCGGAGATGGTGGCTCTGCTGCAGTAAGTCTTGCCGGAGTGAGGTAAGGAGGATTGATGGGGGGCTTCTGAGTCATTTTTGGAATTTTGCCTATTTCTTACTTTCGTCGTAATAGTTTTCTAAGTAGCTTATTCTTTCTTAGCCAAAGTCGGGTAATGGCCCCGGTATCTCAATTTTTTCGGATTCTATGTAAATTTCCATATGGGACGCTGGGCCCAGTTCCCAGCACGTGTTGCTCCCCACGATTGGAGCCTTGTTCCCATTAAAAAAAAAAAAAAAAAAAAAAAAAAAAACATTTATGGCTTTCTTGTCCAGCCTCCAGAAGGATGTGGGACTAGTGGATCCGACACTGGAGGAGGATCACAAGGGATTCCTTTCAATGGACAGACATATGAGCGAATCATCTCTGGAACACACAAAAAGAGCATCAAGACTGAGGAAGAGTGGATGTATGTCGCTCAGACAATAAGGCAGTTCTGATGAAGTGATTTGGGATGACCGGAACAATCAGCTGTTCAGATCATCGTACAAATGGGACCCACAAGTTAAAAATTGGATAGCCCAACAGATTAGACTCCTGATCAAAAGTGACTGTATCAGACATAAGGTTCCAGGTTCTGTCAACTCCCAGAAATGGTTTTGGAACACTTGGGGGAGTGGGTCCGGGCTTTTTAAACTAGACTCTGTCGGAAGACTCAACTTTTGTCAGTGGTTTTGTTATCTCCAATGAGACATGGTGAGCGCTTCAGCTCTCCACCGTAGTAGAGTCTGCTTTAAACCACCAGTACTTGGCCCATACATCGGCCGGGGGGCATTGTCGTTAACGCCCCCCAAATTTCACGGCCTCTGGGCCGATGATAAATCGCATTGACAGCCCAGGTCTCCCCGAACCATTTTAGCCCCGCTCTTCGTCCTTGCCCCCTCGACACTTTTATCTTTCTGTCTGCAAGGATTATCCTTCGCGTCATGGTCTTGAATGTCACTTTGATCTTTGGGTCCGGCATGATCTTGCCCTGGAAGAGAGATCAGTTTCGTTCTGTCCAAATGATCCAGAAGCCAATCGCCCTGAAGACTTGGGCTATATAGCCCCATCCTTTGGGCGTCGTTAGACACTCCTCGGGGACGCGATTCCAAGGATTCCGTCGTCGTTCCACCTGTCCTCGGAGGTGAAATCGGAAATGAAAATGTGAAAACACTCCGAGGACAAATCCTTGGGCTCCGAGGATTTCCCAACCAAATCGTCCTCGAACTCGAAGGACCTGGCGAGGTCCTTCGGAGCCCGAGGATCCGCGATTAACGGGGTGTCGGCGGCTAGTCCAGAACGGAAATTGGAGGCCGAAGGTGGTCCAGTGGTGGTCCAGCGGCCAGAAGACGGACATCCCCGGCCGTCGTCGTCGAAAACCTCCAGCAACGGCCTCCTCGTTTTACCGTTGGCGCTGAATCGCGGGACAACCCTGTAGGTCCTTCGGGCGGCCCCACGGAGGGGCCATGGCGATCATCGGACGTCTTTGGCCGGCGCCCGGAGGCTTAGTGGCGTTCCCGCGGGCTTCCCAACGGTCGGAATTACGGATTTTGTAAGCGTCCTCCCCCTGTCGCTGCTTGCACGAAGACAGCTGGTTCGTTGGCGTCTTCCCTCTCGCACAGTGTGTCTCTGTTCACCACGAATGTGACAACGCTTCTGTGTCGGCTGACCTATCGTTTATGGCAGACCTGTACCGCAGGCTACCTTTGTTGTTGCTCGTCGCTCTACTGCTGCTCATCGTTGTCGTCTTCCACATTTGTTTCCTCGGTCGCGTTCCTGGAAGGAAACAGATGCGTCGAACGCCGAAGAAGTCGAGCAAGATGGATAAGCTTCAGACGAAGACGACGATGTCAGTGGAAGGTGGGGGGTCCTCGTGTCAGCGTTGCAACAGTGCGGAAGGGGGCAGGCGGCCGTACGACCCGACGCTGTACAGGCACTTGTCGTCCCACGAGATTCCATCGCCTCCGAGTGACGACGACGTCGACGACCCCAGATCCTCAACGGTTCCTCTGGGCAGCGGTTCGACGCAGGATTGGATGGGGAGCCAGCTGTACAGACACGCATCGACGCCGACGTACATTGATTTGCTGGAGGGTCGGACCCCCGCTGGTTACGACGCTGGACTCGTCGATCTGAACTTCGGTCTGAGGTTTGGGAGTGGCGAGGACCTGACGCACACCGTTGTCGTGAACCCGGCTTCTGCCACCAAACACACATCGCCTTCCGTGAGGGCGGCTGGCCCTGTGGATAGTCGTGGATTCGTTTTGCCGAGGCGGGTGGCTTTGAGTACAGCAAGTGTGGCCGCGTCGAGGACGAAGACAGCTGGATTGGCAGGCTGCCGAACGACGACGCCAGGCGGTATAATCGACAGAGAAGGGGACGACGACGAGCGCGCCACTACAAAGGTCGTCGGTCGTCAGTTTTGGGATGATGAACGACAACGATTGCGTTCCGCGAACACGTCCAGCATAATGAGAGGGGTGGCGAGAATCAATGTGGGGGCCGAAAACGTATTTGTGGACTGTGATGGTGGAGGGGGCGAGGAGATCGCTGTAGACGACGGCGGTGATGACAACGAAGAAGACGACAACGACGAGATGGAGATTCGTCCAGTAGGGAGGAAGCGCGGAGGGTCGAGGGCGACAACCAAGGTTAGAGAATCGTGCACGGGGCGGAAAGGCAAGAAGTGCGCCGAAGAATCGTCGGCAGGTGACGGAACAAAAAGCAGGGATTTTTGGACAGTGGAGCATATGATCGCTCTTATCAGAGCCAAAAGAGACCAGGATTTGCATCTGGCCGGCCTGGGGCACAACTACGGACGGATGAAGACGAAGACATGGAAGTGGGACGACGTGGAGAAGAGGCTCGTGCAGATGGGGGTGACGGGTAGGAAGGTTGTCGACTGCGGAAAGAAATGGGACAACCTGTACCAACAGTTCAAATCCGTGCACAAGTTCATGGGAGAATCCGGGAAGCCTAACTTCTTCACACTAACGCCGGGGGAGAGGAGGGAGCGGGGGTTCGACTTTAGGATGGATGAGCGCGTGTATTCGGAGATGAAGACGAATCTCAAGGACACGGGTGCGCCAGGAGGTGTTCAAATGCCTGGCGCACTTGGCGGGCGAAACAAATCCGGCGGTAGTGACGGAGGGGGGGATGGTCAGGATGACGATCACGGATCGACGAGACATTCGTCGTTGTCCGGCGGTGGCGGTGGAGGGGCCGGCAAACGAAAGAATGTCAGAGAGTAGACCTTTGAGGCGATGGCGGACGTCATGAAGGAGCACAGGGCGCTGATGTCGACGACGGTGGACACCGCGAGCAAGAGGCAGTGCTCAATTCTGACGAGGCAATGCGACATTCTGGAGAGAGAGATACAAGTGCAGAAGGAGCACTACGAGAAGGCTGACCAGGCGAACTTCATGATGTGCAACGCCCTCATGGAGATTGCTAAAGCGATCCGCGAACGAGCCTGAGGTGGGCCGACCAGGCATGTCGAACGTCCGAAGACATGGCCCGTATGCGCTTTCGGCACGTCGCCGTTTCCCTTGTCCTCCGTGTTGCAGTACGGTGATGTGTAGGTTATGTACAGTCGGCGAGTCGTTGTTGCTCGCGCATAGTATTAAGCGCAGGTTTTATTGATGACTATGAAGGGCGTTGTTTGCTTTCATGCCCCACGACACATCCCGAGGTTGTGCACCAGGTCCTCCGTTTTTAGATAATGTTTAAAGACTGCTGTTGTGAGTTGTTGTCTCCACGCATGTCCGCGAATGTGTAGGCTGCAGGGTGTGTTTTTTCGGGCGCGAGGGGGAAATGGCGTATTGCAGTGCCTGGCCTTTTTGGGGGTGGGAGAGGACGGAAGGGGGGCGGGGTCTTTGTACCTGCTGCGGGGAGCTCCTGCACGCCCTCGTGCCTTGTTCGTCATGCGGAGGATGACCTCCGCGCTGCGAGAAAATTCGTCTGTTGTGAATCGACGAAGGGGCGGGCTGTAGTGGACGGCCAGGCCTGTCCATGGTGTGCTGCGAGACCGCGCACCGTACAAAAGGGGATTCCGGGAGGCATTCCGTACCGCTGCCATTCTATCGCGAAGGCTCCAAAGGCACCGTCTGTGCATGGTCTCGTCGTCGCACGCCCAGTCATCCGCTTCGACGCTACGATCGACGGGTTTGGGCTCTGCGGGCATCCACGTCCTCCTGCATCCACGTCAGCCAAGCGCCGCGTCATCGGAGTGCTCCTTCGTCCACAGCAGCGAAGCGCCGCATCATCAACGTCGTCCGTCGGCAAGGTGCCCGTCATAGAGCTCCCACCGCTCCTTCATTCGCGTCATCCACGTGGCGGACTGCTGGATAGATCCACGCTACGATCGGCGGGTTTGGGCTCCGCGGGCATCCACGTCCTCCTGCATCCACATCAGCCAAGCGTCGCGTCATCGGAGTGCTCCTTCGTCCACAGCGGCGAAGCGCCGCATCATCAACGTCGTCCGTCGGCAAGGTGCCCGTCATCGAGCTCCCACCGCTCCTTCATTCGCGTCATCCACGTGGCGGACTGCTGGACAGATCCACGCTACGATCGGCGGGTTTGGGCTCCGCGGGCATCCACGTCCTCCTGCATCCACGTCAGCCAAGCGTCGCGTCATCGGAGTGCTCCTTCGTCCACAGCAGCGAAGCGCCGCATCATCAACGTCGTCCATCGGCAAGGTGCCCGTCATCGAGCTCCCACCGCTCCTTCATTCACGTCATCCACGTGGTCCTTCGTCCACGTCAGCCAAGCGCCGCAGCTGTTTGCAATCGGCACGCACTTCTTTTTTGTTGAGTTGTGGATGACATGCCACCGCGCGGCGCTTCAGGGAAGTTGAAGAGAAACAGCGGATCGGACGACGGTGGGGAAAGCCAAAAAGGTAGAGGGCACGTGCCGAAGTCGAAAAGGCAGCACTTCGATGACGAGAGCTCCGAACATACTGCCGACTTTCAGGCCGAGGAAGTGTCGATGGTGGATGCACAAGGGCCGGACGTCATGAAGCGATTGGGGATTGGGCGGGACGGGGTGTCGAGGGGGCAGCTGGCCGCTCTGAAGCAAGGCTTGGTTGGTGGTGTCGCCGTCACGTTGGCACGAACCCCGAAGGCGGCAGGGATTGTCATGACGGACGCGCGCGTGGCGAGACAAGTTCCGCCAATGGTCGGGCATGGGAAGCCACGTCAGCCACTCCCCGCGCAACAGGCGGGGGCTTCAGGGGTGGAAAAAACACCGTCCGCGCAAAAGGTTGACACGACGGTGGGCGGTAGTCGGACGGAGGCGGCGGATAACACCACCGGGAGCGGAGTCGCGGAAGCTGCAGAAGAGGGGAGGGTCGATGACGTCCGCCGCGATGATGGGAGGAAGGATGCCGGGGGGGGGGTGATGATGACGACGACCGTCCGGTTTCAGCGATGGTGAAGAGAGGGGTTAAAGAGGATGATCTCAAAGAGAGGTCGAAGTTGTGGATCGACTGCGACGCATTCTGGGGTCAGGGACCGGGGAAGCCATTGAGGGAGGCAGTAGGCAATTGCACGGACTACTTCGTCGCCATCGGTAACGGAGATGCAGAAGCGGAACCGCCTTCAAGTTCGATGCTGCTAATGTCGCCGAATGATGTGTCGCGCTTCAAGATCGACGACCCTGCGCAGCGTGAAGCGGCTCTGCGCTGAGCGCGCAACGTGGAGAAAGTGGTGTTGTGCACCATCCACGGCTGGATCTTCAAATCGTCATCGAGGTCGGTTGGCTTCGCTCGTGCAGAATCGTACGTGACAGTGGACTTGGCAATAGACGTCGCGCGAGCAGTCTCGCAGGCTTTAGAATGGTCGAAAGTCGTTTCCCCTGCCCTCGTCTACCACACGCCGACGATGAAGATGGACGTGCCTATGTGGTTCGCTGGAGTGAAGATTGTGGATAGGCCCGAAGACGACGATATGGCCGCGCGGCAGGAGGCAACAGTTCTTCGCCTGGCGGAATGCTTGACAGATGCAGTTTGGGCGGACGGTGGCCGCATGAAACAGGATAGGTTGACACACCTTGCAGATTATCTTCGAGTTTTGTTGAGCGCTTGCATGTGGATCATGCGGATGGGCGGTGACGATGACTGTTCGCACTACGAGGCATCATTCTACGCGTCCATGGTCGCCAAACCAACACTCATAGCGACGGGCTCCTACATCTTCAACTGGCGGCGGCACATCGTTGACACCGCCAACCTCGTCTTGGATCGTCTGGGGAAGACCCACCTCACGCTGGGAGATTACCCGCATTGCATACCGGAATGGGCCGATTGCGGGTTGGTTTTCGGTCACAACGCGGCCCTCAAGAATGCATCGGAAGCAGCAAAACACGGGTGGATCGGTAGCGGGCCACTGGCGGATGACGATGGCGGTGACGAGAAGTGACACGTGGTTCATCCGCAAGGCCGCGGCGGGATGGGGGTGGGTGGGGGGTGATGGTGGGGCGGGGGGGAAGGTGAGGTGACCGGTCGTCGTTCCTGTGCAGCAATCCATCATGATGGATGGGTAGAACCCCTCCATCGCACTACACGTGTTGTCGTCAATGGTCGTGGTTGGAGCGCGTGGTTTGGTGGTGTCGCGACGTCGATAATCGTCATCTTCGTGCACGTGTTATTTTACCGTACTGTGACAGTACGAGGCAGGTGGAGCTTTATTATGTCAGCAATCCACCTGCTAGTTATTTTTTTTTCCATTGTGATTAGGTTTTCATTGGAGCAGAGTTCGTAGATCTGCTCCAAAGCCTTGTCTATTAGGCCACTCCACGACACGTCAGCAATGAAATAGAAGGCAGGTGGAGTCCGTCGTCGGTGTGGTGCGCTTCGAGGGTGGACAGTTGGACTCCTTTTTTCAAATTCCGCGTCAATATTGTACTTGGAAGGAATGTATGTCATTGAAGTCTTATTTTGTGTGTGTGTGTGTACTAGCATGTCTGTGATTCGTCGCTCAAAGTTGGTTTTGTTCTTTTCCGTGTGGATGTCTCATGTATGGAATGGGTTAATAGCGATCGTCGTGTCCTTCACATCTTTTGCTTTTGTAAGCGGCCCTTCGTTGGATGTACGAAATCTATGCGTCGTTATCATCGCCGGCACCTGCGAAAAGGGGAACGACAAAAAAACAAGACGAGAGAAATGAACCTAGCCACGCACTGTCACCACGCAATTGCTAAAAAAACAAAATTGAAATGCTTCGTTTCTCAATGTACACTTCACTGCCGCATTCATGCATCACCGATGACCATGAGCAATTGCACAAAAGTGCAGACATTCTGTGAATGACAGACATTTTGAATGTAGTTGAGAAAGAAGTCGGTCGCCAAACGAAAGGAAGAAGCGAAATGCACGAGGACGTCATCACACAGCAATCACAAAAAGGAGAGGATTCGACGACATCATTCAATTTCAAACAAAGGAGCGTTGTAAACCATATACTCATCAGCTCGTCGAGGAGCTGACAACCCCCCCCCCCCCTCGACAACTCGTCCCGGGATTCACGGACAGCCGTGGGAGCACACTGGCGCCACTCAAGTGCGCAACCGAACCACTGCCGACATTACGTCGAACGACCGCAGAGCCACGTCACTAGGAACCGTAGACGAATTGGACAAGCACACTACCGTCGACCATAACAACGAACACCGAAAAAGATGCCATCCGCGACGGAAAACCATCCACTTCGTCGTGCGCATAAGTGAAAGACGTCAAACCCTCCTAACTAATCGAAGACGGCAGAACACGACTCGAAGGAAGTATTATACGCGTGAAAGACGCTGGCGGTGCACAGGATCACATGTGTTTCATTCGCTCCGCCAGCGCGTTGCGGAGAGAGAGGGCGGGACCGGTCGACGTCAACATCGACACTGGCTGCAGGGGACGATGAATCCCCAGGTCCACTCGGCGCCTCACCCCGTTCTCGTCAACCTCCCACAACAAATTCTCGTTGAACTCCACACCGGCATCAAGGAGGATATTGTGGAGAATGCAGACTGCCGTGAACTGCCGCGGTAGAGTTTCCAGGTTTGTCTTGTGTGTCCGCAGGAAGAACCTCCACATCCCCTTCAACCTCCCGAACGCCCTCTCCACAACCCCTCTTGCGACCTTCTGCTTCGTGTCGAACCTTTCCTCGTCCGGGTGCTGATTGATTACTCCATACGGCACCACTACCCATTCAGAAGGAGGATACCTGTTGTCGCCCAAGATGTATCCGTTCGTTCTCCCCCCCCCCAGCAGCGTCACAGGCGGGCCACGAAAAAGCACTCCCTCTTCTGCGCGCCTCGACAGACTCGACAGTTGGATCACCCTGATGTCGTGGCAGCTCCCCGGATATCCAACGAACACGTCTAGCACACGCAGATCCAGGTCCACCACCACCTGCGCAATGACGGAGAAACGGTGCTTGCGGTCGAAGTAGTTCTCGCCGGGCGCGTTCGTCGGTTTGTCCACGTAGATATGTGTGCAGTCAACTGCGCCATGGCAGTTTGGAAAGCCCTTGTCCAGAAACGCCCGCAGCACGACGTGTTTCCGCACCCCCGTCGGCCACGATATCCTGTCCCCATAGACCCTCAACAAAGCGTTTGTCACATCGCGCACGGCCATAATTCTGGAAGCCCTACCTATGCTGAAAGATGAGGTGTTGTTGTCGTATGACTCTCCTGAAGCCCACCTGTACAACGCATAGGCAACGATCTGCTCCGGCGGAAGTGGCTCCTTGTAGAACATCACCTGTCGTTGCAAGAGAGGTGCACAGGCTTCGCCGATCTCCATGAAAACTCTCCTCGACATGCGGAGCTTTTCCCGGAAGTAGTTGTTCGTCGCGTCATCTCTGAGCCGCAAATCCTCCCAAGTCCCGCCGGTTCTCCGCCTCATCCACCAACGTAGCGTCGACCGAGGAAGCACACCGCACCCTATTGCAAAGCATAGCTGAAGCCTCTGCCTCAGAACTGGTAACGCAGTCCGGGGCGTCCAACACCCTCTGCAGCAGAAGCCTCTGCCGGTGCCTGGAAAGCGTCACTTTCATGCGCCCAGACGCCCTCTAGTTGGAATCGACGGACAACTGCGACAGCAGCCGCCGCGACAGCTGTCTTCTCCGCACTGGACAACACAACACGACCATCGCGATCGCAGCCCTCCATTCCGCTCTTCGGACAGGAAAAGCAACCTTCCTCGCCACCCACCTGCGCGCACCTCTCCCACCGCGATTGAAGGCGCCTGCAATCAGGTGAGCAATGCAGCCGTGCTTAACGATGTTTCACCCCGATTGGAGCGTCCGCCCGCCGCCACTGAAGTACGGAACCGCCGCGCCCCTCTGCGTCACGAGCGCAACTGCCGGCAGCATACGAAGCGCGGCGCGGCGTCGAACACCCTGGAGACGGTGGCGATGAGGCGCCACTCAAGTGCGCAATGCCATGGCAGCCGAAACCCTTTGCGACGTGCACTGCCCCCCCTCCTCGCCGACCCGTGTGTGTGCCGCTACACCGTCGCTCCGCAGGGCGCAAATTCGAATTTCAAAATTCGAACAGGGTCGTTCCCGCGTTGGCGATTTTCTTCTTCGCGCCCCGTGACGTAGTACCGCTGTCCGCCTGCTGGACTACCACGCCTCCAACACGGACATCTCGAATCGAAGGCCGGACAACACCCTCGCGGCCGTGTATAATATCATGAAACTGGCCGCGGGAGGGCCCCGAGGATTCGTCCTCGGGGCGATTCTCCGAGGACAGGTGGAACGACACCTCAAAAAACCGTAAAAAATTTCGAGGATTCGTCCTCGAACTCCGAGGACGGCTCGAGGAGTGTCTAACGACGCCCTTTGTCCAGCTGCAGATTCTCTGGGACTCCCCCCAGGAGAACCCCGTCCCTGTTACCCTTTTCTTTACTTTCGAGAGATATTGTTTTTTTTTTTTTTTTTTTTTTTTCAAACAACCAGTTGATTCATTATAAATGTAGCATCGAGGCCGGGGACCTCACAACTCAACCTAGAATACTGACAGCATCAGCCAGCTTAGCTTACAGGCGTACGCCTAAGGAAAGTCGAACGACCTGCCAACTTTCCAAATTCCTACAACCAGCTCTACCTTGTGCCACAACTTGGAGAAATTGAGATACTGATGAAGGTAAAAACTACTATTGTCCACTTTTGGCAACCTGAGTACATTGTGATTGTCTGAAGCCTCATGGCTTCCTGCTTGCAGAATTATCAACACTGATCATTGTACTTGCTAAAATTGAGTGGTTGTAGCCACATGTCCCAGGGTCTAACTAGATAAACCTATGAGCTTCCCCTACCACTACCTGACTTCCCCCTGGGACTAACGCGGCCCAGTGCGTTAAACCTTTACCTACTGACACTCTCCTAACGGCCCACAGCGGCCCTAGCTGGGACCGAGTGTCCAGGTCCCGTCCCAGTTAGTCTCCATCTTACTACCGTACCTCTATCTTACTGCCTGCTTCCATTAACCAACGTGAGAGGATCAAGCCCCTTAGGCAGTGCACTGTTGCAAAACGGTTATGCCTGACCCAGGTTATGAGAAACCACTTCTTCTGAAGTCGACTCCCTCTCCCCGCTCTAACTTTCCTTTTCCAGTCCACGTTGATCGCCTGCTTCAGCCCCAACTTGATCTTGTGCTTGATTTCTAGGTCTGTGAGTGATCTCCTTTCGAATCTTATCTTGTTGTGGTCAGCCCAAATCACCTCACAGATTATCCCCCTAGCCACGTGGGCTATATAGCTCCATCCCTTTTTCCCAGGTGGGTTTGCAGGTAGAAAGCCCAGCAATACCCATTGTTCGTTCCACTCCACCTCCTCCCCTCCGATTTCCTTCCAATGAGTCTCCCACCATTTCCAGATCCTCTTCGACGCAGGGCATTCCCACCACAAGTGCCGCGTTGATTCAAATGGCCAATTGCACCGATTACAGCGCAGTTCCACCATCATCCCCCTGCTTAGTAGCCACACTGCCGAGGGGGTCACTAACAGTGAGAGAAGCCACATGATACTGACTTGCTTTCCATTGGGCAGTTTGGTCAGGATCTTCCACAGTTTTAAGAACTGTTGTTCGGCTTCTGGGATAGTTTCTCCCAGTAATGTTTGCCACCTTCTCGCTGCGACCGCTGCAGGTGTCCTCTGAACCTTGGCGGATAAGACGTAGCCTGCTTTGACAGAGTAGTCGGCCATGGGCACCACACTGTTTGCGTTGTGAGGTTTCCAGCTCCAAGCATTAGGATCGATGCTCAGTTTGCAGAGTGGGACTCGACCAATCCAAGAGAGCACTTTGCTTTTCCCCTCTTTTCTGGCATTTCAATCACTCTGATTTGAGCAGGGTTGTTCCACAGCAAGATTACCTCTTCGTTGATCCGCGTCAGACTGTTGATCGGTTGGCTGCACTTCCACCTTTCTACTCTCCTGAAACCACTTTCCAGCACCTCCAATACCTTCCATACTACATCCGGTTCCTGTTCTTCAGCAGCGTAGTACCAGGTTCCCGGAGGGTCTACTCCATCCGGGCCTAGGAGGTCCTTCCAGCTCTGCGGGATGCCTTCACGGATGATATGTCAGTGTTCCTCCACCCTTCGCAGGCCGTGAAGCTTGGACTTGATGTCCCTTAGCAGAATCCACCCCCCCAGCAGCGAGGACCATAGGTCTTTGATACACACTACCCCCCTACGCATCCATGCCAGGCCGAACGAACCTGTGGACCCATCCGCCTTCAAAGGTTCCCCTGACTGGTCGCAGATTGAGGGGTTCTCAAACAGATTCTGGAGTAGGACTTCTTCCTTTGTCTGTGGCGACTGTTGCACATTTGGTGGCTGTTTGTTCCAGGCCTTTCTGATGGAGTTCCAGAAAGTTGACTTCAGCTCCTTTTTCTGAAGGATTCCATGAAAAAACAAACCCAGACATCTTCTGGTCTGGACAGACCCCATTCACCCATCAGTATCCTCTCCGCCAACTCTACCGAGTGTTCCTTCGAAGCTGTTGTAGCTATCTTGTTGAGCCAGACTGACAGTTGGGCCTGGTTTCTTCTGGCTGGGTCCATCAAGCCCAGGCCGCCCTGATCTCTTGGGAATGTGAGTGTCTCCCAAGCCACTTTCACCAAGAAGCGCTCGTTGTTCTTGGCCCTGGGGTTCCACAGGAACCTTGCAGCCAGTCTGCGGATTGTCGTGAGGATTCCTTTTGCCAATTCTCTCACAACTGAGACGAACCAGAGGATGGAGAATAGTGCTGCGTTAGTAACCAGCGCTCTTCCAATGATTGACAGGTGTCAGGCCGTCCCCCACAGTTGAAGCCTTGCCGCAATGCGATGCTGCAAGAGTTGACCTTGTGTTGTGGCTTCCACCTGCAGACTTATCAACACACCTAGGAAACGTTCCTCTTCCCCTTCTTCAACCCTTTTCATTCCCCATTCCAGTTTCAGCTCATAAGTCCTTGGTAGCAGGTAGGTGGACTCGTTCCAATTCACCGAGGCTTCTGACAGAGTTGAATACTGTGTTATAATCTCTTTCATTGCAGATAGGGCTTCCACCGAGTTCTCGCACACTGCGAAGAGGTCATCCGCAAGCGCCTTGACTCTACATTCTGCGCCGCTGAACAGCCGCAGGCCTCTGATATGCGGGTGTCTTCTTATACGATTGAGTAGGACTTCCATCTGAAGAACGAACAGCAACGGAGCGAGAGGGCAGCCTTGTCTGAGCGACCGTGTCAGTCTGAAAGGTGTGGACAGATGTCCGTTGATGATCACTGATGATGTGGCGGCTGTGTACATTGCCACTACCCACTTGCAGAATCATGCTCCAAATCCCATCCTTCGTAGTGTCGTCATGACGAAAGGCCACCCCACCTTGTCGTACGCCTTCTCTAGGTTAATGAGAAGGACCACCATATCCAGATTCTCCGATTGGACCACTTCCAGGACTTCGATAGCAGTGATGATGTTGTTGAAGATTGATCTGCCTTGTACAAAGGCTCCCTGGTCCCCCCCGACCAGGTCAGGCAGATACCTGCCGAGTTGCCTTGCCAATGTCTTGGCTAGGATCTTATATGAGACATTCAGAAGTGAGATTGGGCGCCAATTCTTAACGTCTGCTTTGTCTCCCTTCTTGAACAACACTGCGATAACCCCGTGTGTCATTCCCTTCCCCAACTTCCCGTCTGACAGAACCTTGTTGTATAGTTCTATAAGTGCTGGTCCAAAGATGGTCCAGTTCTTCCGGAAGAACTCCACCGTTAGGCCATCCACTCCGGGGGATTTCCCTGTTGCCTTCGACTTCAGCGTTTGGGCTGTTTCTTCTACCGTAACCGGTCTGCCCAGGTCTAATCTTGCTGCTATTAGCAGCGAGACCGTTGTGTCCTCCCACATGTCCGAGTTCTCTGATAGGTCTGTGAGAAAGTCGTCTTGGGGCCGCCGGGTAGTCAAGATGTCTTCATAATAAAGCTTAGCATATTCCAGTAGGCCTGAGGCAGAAGAGGCCCTTGGTTCCCTTTCATCGAACGGGTGACTAAGTTCCACCATCTGCTGTTGCAGCAGCCTTGGTTGAAGCCTTTGAAAGGTCTCTTTCGTCATCTTGTCATGCACCTCTATCCCTTTCTCCTTGAGAACTTCCGCCCATCTCCGTTCTTTGTTTGCCTGGATGCTCTCCCATTCTGCCATCCTCTTCTCCCTTTCCGCTGCCCACACCATGGTCGAGATGGGATGTCCCTCCATCTGTTCTTCCGCCTCTTCCACTCTCCTTCTGCACTCTGCATCCCTCTGATTTCTGTTTCTGGCTAGTATCTTGGAGCAGACGTTCATCACTCCTGAGGCAATTGCAATCCCGCTATCCAGCCACTCGACTGTAGAATCAAAGTACTGTTTCACGGACTCCCATGCCTTCATGTGTTTTTCAAGCCAGCTGCCGATGCTTGGATCCTCCAGGTTTTGAGAGTTCAACCTGAAGAACCCTCTGCCTCTCTCGGTGGTATTGTGCAGCTTCACTTCCGCTACCACTGGCTTGTGATCCGAGAGTGGGTGGGCGATATGTTGAACCGCTGTCACCCCTTCTAATGCCTGACTACTTACCAAGAAGTAGTCTAAGCGTCGTCTGGTTACTTGCCGTCTGTCCCGGTGCATGTGCGAGGTCCAGGTGTACCCCGGGTCTTCCGGAGATAGCAGACGGAAGGGGTCTGCCAGTTCAAGCTCCGTTGCGAGGTCCAGCAATGTCTGTGCATCCTTACGGCCTGCTGCGGAAGACTGTGGACTGAGGACTTCGTCGAGAGCCAGGTTCCAGTCCCCTGCCAGGATTAACCTGTCTACTTTCGGGATATGTAGCATGAGGTTTGCGAAAAAAATTGTTCTTTCTTTTCTCTTCGTAGGGGCATACACAGTCATGATTGCCCATTCCTCATTGCCTGCCTCAAACCTGACCCAGGCCCATCTCCCCCACAGATCCGCCTCGCTCTCTAGCACTGTTACTTGAAGGTCCCTATGCAGCAATATACCCACCCCACCTCTAGTCCCCTGCGCAGGGGACCATACTTGCGGTCCTTCCCACCAGTTCCCCAACTCGATCAGCTTCTCTTCATCTAGTTTTGGTTCCTGAATCAACAGGCAGTTCACTCGTCACTCGTGCAACCAGCTTTTCACCCTCCTTTTCTTCCTTCTGCCTGTCGTGTCCCCCAACCCCCTCAGGTTCCAGGTTGCTATCTTCAGCCTATCCATGGAAAATATTGTTTCCCGCTTGGCAGAGGATGCGGGGTGTCTCTCTTCCTGTCCTTGGCTGTTGTTCCCCCGTGGTTCCAGCCCTGATGCTTTCTCTGCTGGTGCCTCCTAACATGTTGACTGAGATGTTCTTAGAAGAGCCACGTGACGAGTTAGTCTGGGAGGGGGATCTCCATTCTTTCGTTAGCATCTTGAGAATGAACTCGGACTGCAGATTCTCCTCCCTCCTGAGCTTCTCATTGAGGTTCAGGAGAATCAGCGCACTAATCCCTGGGACCACCGCTATCCTCTCCAGCTCGGGTATACCCCGCTCCCTTACAATATCCACATTGTACCACCTGACCCCTGCTTGAGTTAGAGATTCTGCTGACTCTGGTGGGATGCGGGGGTCCAGTAGGGGGAAATAAAATTTGCAGAAGTCGTCCTCTGTTTCGCATATCACGCTCGCCATGGTCGACGTCGGGATGATTCGAACTGGAACGTGAACCCCGTACAGCATTCTGGTCTTCTCCATGATCAGGGTTGGTGTTGGGGTTCGGTCTACTTCCACCGAGGGCAAAATCGATTGGCCGCTTGGATCCGCTAACGCTAAGAAGTAGGTCCCATCAATGGCTCGAGTACAGAGCACTGGGACCACCCGTCTCTTCACCATTTCTGAGTAGCTCTTGTGCAGGACCTCTGCTCGTTTATTCTTATCTGGACAGAGTCCTCTTAATCGGCCCTCAGCGTGGCTCCCCTCTCTTACTTGCCGTCTTGACTGTGACGAGCTTTCCATGTTCTTCCGAGAGTTGTCTTGTGTCCTTCTCTTCTGCTTGAGATTCGCTGTCCATCCTGACTTGAGACTAAGAGGTGAGAGAGGTCTTGGAAAGTTCCCCGGTAGCTCTTTCCTCTTGGATGGTCTCTGGAATGGTTCTGCCCCGTTCTCCTCTCTGCTGTATTTTCTCTTGCCAGGTCCTGCTGGGCAGATCTCTCTGCCACCCACTGTCTCCAAGGTGTCCTACTCCTTCCGCTGGGGCCCGCTTCAAGCTCTTGCCTGAGGTTGCTGGCGTTATAATGAGGTTGACCCGTTGTTTGTCCTGAGTTTGCCGGTGCATTCCTCGCCAAGTGTCCCCACTCAATGGTTTCTGGGGGGTAGCATGATTGTGGCCGATCTAACCTGAGTTGCTGGTGTGGATGCGCCCTGTACCTTGTTTCATTGATGGCTGACGAGTGTTGGATGAGGGTCGGGCCTCCTTGAAGTTGATAGCATTCGGCTTGTCCGGGGTTCTCTACGTATGCGCCCTGAAATTCTTCCGCTGGAGAGCAGAAATTGGCGATGCCCCGTCTGCTGTGCAGCTGACGGGCCGTTCCAGCCTTGGATCAGATACTCTTCAGTTTGGTGAGAGTAACCTGCACTGTTGCTCCTCGACCAGCATCCCGGTCCTGTGCGGGGTGGAAGGGACTGGTGCGTTGGGACCTGCGTCCAGGGGTTGTGTTCTCTGCTTGCGAGTTGCTCGCTCTCCCACCAACCCGGCTTGCTCCTGTTGCCGTCTGGCATGACATACCGAGGTTCTCCTCGTTCGCTCTGCTGCAACCTCATCTGGTCCTGGTGGTGGTTCAGTGGGCCGGCCTGGGGCAGTGGGCCAGGGCCGGGTTGTATGTATGCTTGTTGTCTCTGCATCTCTCGGTCTGCTCCTGTCTGGCCCGCGCTTCGACTGGCAGTTCCTCCTCCGTGCTCGTGAGTGGACCCGTGTCTTGCGTCCCCTCTCTCTGTCGCGTCCCGCTCCGCATTGCGTCTTGTGTTGTACAGATATTGTCGGAACTTCGCTCTATGACCGCCTTGCCTCAGGCCCCCTTCTTTACCTCTCTCGTCCTCTTGGCGTGCTCTTGGACAGGTTTCCTCCGAATGGAAGTACCATCTGCATCGGCGACAGTAGTCGGTGTAGGGGGATGCTACCTCCACTCTCCACCGCTCTCCGTTGGGAGATTCGATGACCAGTTCATCCTCTACATGATAACGTGCTTCCAGACTCATATCTAGCTTCACATTCATTAGTTTGGGCCTTGTGGGATAAATTTCAGGTGGATGCATGTGGACCACCTCCCCAAACATGCTTGTGACTGCACTTTTTAGGTAGTAGTAAGCATCTAGTTGCACACGCAATGCTATGATCCAAAAGTTCGTGTCAGCTTCTTGCAGGCGCAGGTTCTTGAGGTCCTGTTTAGTCATCCATGGCTTGAAGATCGTTCGGTACTCCTTCCCTTGCAGTTCCAGTACAGCTTCCCCCTCCCCAATAAGCCATTCTGCAACTTCCCTGACTTTTCGCCACATAGGATATTACGTTCTGTCCCTCGAATCTCACCCTCCCCCGTTTGATGTCTGGGTTGAAGAGTTTTCGAGCGTACCACCCATCTTCATAAGCCCGGATGAGATCCTCTTTTACCTTCCTGGACAATAGCCTCGCCTCATCTCTAAAAATCATGATGATCGTTCGCTCTTTGAGCCACTGCTCCTTGATTTCGTCCACGTCCCTATTCACTACAAACCTCCGCCCCTCTTCGTCTTCTACAACCCGGCCCAGGTTCACATCGTCAGGGCAAATTCCCTCGTCGTAGCATTTCCCTACGGATTCCCGTACTTGCGCCGCGCGGACCCGGAGCATCAGGGGTTTGTACGGGCCTTGAGTATCCCTTTCTGCCTGGCCCTGCATTGCTTCCTACCCGCTTGTCCTTCGGCTGCGCCCTTCCTGATTCTCGGATTTGTGTTCGTTGGGAAATCAAGGCTACTTCCTGCTCGCCGTTTCGTTCTCTGCCTAGGATGTTAGGCTTCACCGGATTTGTAACCGCGGGGGGAGAGAGCCCAAAGCACGAGTTCGATAGGATTCCTAGCGACAATTGAAGTCGGAGAGAAGGAACCTCTAGGTAACGAAATGGACGAATTACCGAAGGTGAAATTTGCCTTCAGGTAGGCAAGAAATAAAAGGATTGACGATAAAGCGATACGTGTGCTGTGTGTATCCTTCGAGGGTTTTTGCAGATGTTACTATATCTTATCTGACAGTCATTCTCTCTCCCCTGTCCCCCGAGCTCATGTGAGAATGGAGTGCGATTTACTATGGTGATTAATGACCTTGGTAAAAAACCCTAGGTGACATGGTGAACCACCTCTCCGCGGTGAGTCTTTTCCTTTGGGTAGATAGGAGTTAGATGGCTACTGTAGAAGGAACGCTACTCCTAGCTAGCGTATCTTCCGAAGCCCTCTCGTCCGGACTACTACTGCTTTTTTATACTTTCCATCACTCTCCTTGCTTCTCTTCCAGCTTGCATACCTGTGGAGCAGTTACTGTGGTAACTTCGCGTTTTCAGAACGGCGCTTCTCCTGCATTGCTCAGGCTCTACTCACCCTACCAATTCCGGTGACCGAGGCCAGCGGCCTTCTCCTTGGCTATGGCCGTCATTTGCGGGATGGGGGGCCCTAACCTAGCTAAGCTTTAGGACTGTTCACGAAGGATAATGCTTGAGGCATAGCCTCCGCTCTCGTTGAGGAGCGTGCATCTCTTCTTCCCACTCCTTGTCGCGGCGGCGAGGATTTCGGGCGAACAGCGCTACGCGTGGGGAACGCACGCAGCGGCGCCGGTACCGGAGCGCTACCGCTATTCGCCCGGTACCTGTGCTCCCGACCCCTATTGTTTTGTTCCAAGCCGTACTGGACCCAGTTTCCAGGAAAAAAAAAAGAAGAACAAAAAAAGAAAAAGAAAAAGAAAAGAGAGAGCTGCTCCTCTTTGCTGGCCCTCGGCTCATCTTTGCTTGGCTGACGGTACGCATAGGTCAATTGGCCCCACCCTGGAGCTTCCTGTCTGGCATCCCGCAGGCCAGCCCGCATCCTTTCCTTGTATCCTCGCGGGAACAGTGGTCGTACCTGTCGTCGAAGGATGGCAGCGATCTGAACACGCCAATGCGTGGAACGCCGCCTTCGCAATAACCACGCCGGTAGAGTAGGGGTTCAGCGGCGGCCCCGAGCGTACAGGCAAGTCGGTTTGTAGGCCGCGGCCAACAAACCTCGGCCCACACCTCGGTCTCCGCTTATCGATGTGATCTGAGGCGTCAGTCAGATTCAGATTCAGCTTCAGGAAGAGGCCGTCCGGCTTTCTGATGTCGTGCTCTCACGTACGACATCGGTGCGATTGAGGACGGTGACCGGGGCCTGTAAACGAATCTGGACGAGAAACAAGGAAAGGCGGTACTTGCAGAATGCCGAATCCCTACGTACGTCCCGTTCGAGCAGTGAGCTTTAAGGGTAGGAACTGGGAGGCAAGTGTTCTCGGTCTGAACGTCTGAACGGCGGAGCTGTCAGGCTGACAGAGGTCATACAGACGGAAAGGGTGTCGGTTACCTGCCTGGTAGGGAGGGAAAAGACCATCCTGGAGTTCGCAGGCAGGGAGGGATACGATGGGGCTGTCACGGTGGTCGTTAGGGCTTCGTGATCGTGCTCTGCGATCCACGTGCGCGACGTCCGTCCCCCTGAATGGCTGGATGGAGGCAGGGGTGGTGCCACTGCTAAAGAATGACGAACATAAAATAATAATAATAATGGAACGCTATGGGTGGGATTCAAGGAGGTAGTAAAGAGCGGGCAAGAGTCCTGTTGACGGTGGGTGTTCGGGAAAGAGGAGGTGGGCGGGGAAAGGGAAGGGGGTAAAGAGGAACGGACTTGCGCTAGGCAGATCTCAAGAGGCATCGGTTGACCCAACGCGCGCATGCGCGGACTTGCTGGGGTGGTGAATCGCCGCGCGGACGAGCGCGGGCGCGTTTTCGGTGACGCCCATGCCGCGCGGACGATTCCTGTGACGACGAGTTGGCGGCGATGTCAACGATTGCCCGCCCCTCTGGCAAAAATAGTTCAATGCGGAGATGGGCAAAAAGAGTTCAATGCGGAGATGATCGCAGCATACCCCACCCTGCGCCCTACGCCGGCCGCCCCCCGGCCCGCCCCGCCCCCCCCCCCCCCGTCCCGGCCCGCCCCTAAGTACGTATCATGAACTGTCGGCGCTGGGTAGATGCTGTCCTGTAAGCCATACATAGGGGCGCATGTCTTGTCGGCCGCCACGCATTTAGGCGTTGTTGAGATCATACAGAAAAAAATGTGAACATGGCGGACGTGAGGATTCGATGAAACCGCGCCAAGGCCGAGAATAGCGGACAGGCAACCAGAGGATTGCATCGCGCGCAAACGAGAGCGAGCGAGCGAGCTGGAGAGAGAGTGAGAGAGAGAGAAGGGGGGTCGGGGAGGGCCGGGAGGAAGAACAGGGGAGTGAAGACCGAGCAATTGCGCTGTGGAGATTGTGACTTGCGGAAGTCCTCCGGCAGTAGACCTGCCCGGTAGGTGGGTGCGCCGTGTGAGGGCCACCCATCTGTGTGTGTGTGTGTGTGTGTGTGTGTGTGTGTGTGTGTGTGTGTGTGTCTCTCTCTCTCTCTCTCTCTCTCTCTCTCTCTCTCTCTCTCACACACACACACACACACACTGTCAAGCAGCTCCCTCTGCCTATCCATCTCTCTCTATGGGGGCGGGTGGGTGGATTGCTGTGTACGCAGGAGGAAGAGAATCGACCACCCGTTGATTGTGGGTCGTGGTCGGGAACTCGAAGCAGGACAGAAACGACAAAGACTGATCCGATCGTCATCAACGACAAAGGCCGATCTGTTTGTGAGAAACGACGAAGATTGATCAGTTCCTCATCGGTACAGTGGACGGGCTCTTTTGAAGAGGCGAAGCTTCTGCCCGGCTCGCTCGGTTTTCGAGCGGGCGGGTGCGCGAGGGCGGCCGCGTAGCGCTGCCATTCCGTCAGTCAGCGAGGGCGCCTCTTTAAATTTATTCAGTAAGTGGTGCACAAGCTGATGGCTTCCTCTGGTGGGGCAGGGGGAGGGGGAGGGGGAGGGGGTGGGGGAGGCGGGTCGGCAGGGGGGGGTGCGTCTGCACCGGTCAAGCTTTTGACTTTCGACCTCAGTGCTCGTCCGCGATGGCTGCAGCTGGCAATCTGTGGAGGTCTCACCTTCGGTGGCTTCATGCTCAACGGCGTTATCGAGGTTGGTTTATATTATATGCCGTTTTTTTTTTTTTTTTTTTTTTTTTTTTTAAAATATGCCCTCCCTTTTAATTTTGCCGTCCGCATCCCTTTCGTCCCCTCCCGTTCCTTTAACTTCACTCCATGTCTTCGCTGTTTGTGCTATCTTCCTTCGCCCCCCCCTTCCCCCCCCCCCCCCCTCTCTCTCTCTCTCCTTCGCTCTTTCGTCACTGCTTTCCTCTGTCTCCTGCAACAAATTTCATGTTTTCCATTTCACAACGGCGTGGGTTATCTGAGGCCATTGGTGAAGCGACCTTTTTTTTTTTTTTTAATAAATCGGACCACTTCTCCGCTTGATGGGTATCCTCCCTGCGCAGGGGTCATGCTAATGTTCTTTCTCTGTATCGTTCCAATTTTGACGGATGTCACGAAGGACGAAGCGACCAATCCCTCCCCCCCCCCCCCCCCCCCCCCCTCTAAAAGAGCGACACCCTTAAGATAATACAGTATCATCGAAGTGACCGAACTTGACCTCAAGGGTTAATTCAGTCGCTGGATTGATTGATGTTACGTTCTTTTAGAAATGGACCCAATTTCGGTATTGAATCCCCTTGAGGTGCTGACCTGTTGAGATACGGATCCTGAATTGATGTTACGTAACATCAATTCTCCATTCACAGGTCCATCGGGATCCGAACCTGGGTCCGTATCTCAACAGGTCAGCAGCTCAAGGGAATTCACTACCGAAGCCGCCGAAGGCACCGAAGGCACCATTTCTAAAAGAACGTAACATCAATTCAGCGACTGACATGTGTTGCTGATAGCCGTGTGGCGAACATTTGTAGCGAACATAGTGAATTTCTGATTGCCTTGGTCTAAAATGACCAGATACGTTCTGTTCGTGATGCTCGCTAAAATGAATCTGGCCCAGTCTGGCGAGAGCAGTTCTGATTGCCTTGGTCTAAAATGAATGAAGGCCGAAGGACACGAAGTGTACGAGTTGGGGGAAAGGACAGCGGGATTCATTTCCCTTGTTTTGACGTGCACAGTGAATTGTCTTTTTCTTCTTTTTTTTTTTGTCTATTTTTTTTTTTTTTTTTGGAACGTTTATGTCTCAAGGTAGTAGGATCACAGAGCGATTCGAAAGTCAGGTTTTTGCCTCGGTGAACGTGCACAGTGAAAGTGTTCTTTTCTTGTGTGTAAATGTGATTTACTGCTATATATATATATTTTTTTTTTCCCTTTCTTTCTTATTACCATCAGAAGATAACCGCGGCTGCGATCATTGATCCAATTCAGACCGGTTGAATTGCTCGCTCCGTCTGGACATGATCGGGAGGTTCGGCAGTGCTAAACCAGGATGACAGAGGGTGGATAGATAAGGGCATACTCAGCTGGACTTTCTTGGATGTGTCTGACCGCAATTACGTTCGAATTCAGTCGAAAAAGCTCAATTTCTTGAATGTGCCCCAAGCAGGTACAGTATTTATAAATATATGTCTAAAAGACAGACACATAGATCATTAATATATAGACGCACATACGGGAAAATGGACATACTCTGTTTGACGATATATATATATATATGACGATATATATAACGAAACAGTTTGTCACAGCCCCTCGTTTGTTGTCCTCTTCTCTCTCTCTCTGCCTACGGTTTTACCGGTCAGTTCTGTTTGTGACGATATATACTACGACTTCGCTAGCTTCCTGCTACGGTTTTTTCCGGTCAGGTCGAGCGGCAGTGGTCGGGGCCGTTACTAGGCGGCCATGCTGT